GTTATGTCAGCGGGGTTTGGCCCCAGCCGCCTATGACCCTATTCAGGAATAATGAATGGTGGATGGATCCACTGTGCAGACAAACCACCATGAACAATCAAAATCACCCTATTTCACAGCTTAACATACACTTTATTTCATCAAAACCTTTACACAAATATAGATGTCAGTTGATGCAAACGTGTTTCCACATAAAAAAAATCTAATTCTTAAAATATATGGACAGTCCTCTGTAAGGTTAAATTCTATCTAGGGAAATGTTAACCTCTCTTGTGCCCACAACTGCAGCGGAAAAGTTATTAATTAGAGGTCAGAAAAACCTATCACCTTATCAGATCAATCAGCTGAAAAAATATTAATTACACTCAAAAAATTTAGAGAGTTTAATGATTTCAGGTACTTACACTACACTTGAGGGTGGCTCTCTTTTATCCTTTATCTTTTGTCTTATATTTTCTATTTTTGTACTTTTTGCATTTTCCATTTATGATTTATTTATTCACTGGTTGACATGTCTGATCAATGATCATTGTATTTTTCTCACTGATGGTAAAATACAAAGAAAAATTTGTAGCAACAACCATTCATACAAAGATATTTCCCATTAATGTTACATGATGACTGATACTTTTGTACAAAACCAGTGAAAAAACTTTATCAAAACGAACTTTTAACTATACAAGTGAAAATGAAGCTACATATATTTCTAATAATGAGGCACCGAGGAGTGTTTTTGTTCACAGTGATTCAAAGCACCATGCTGCAGTTGAAATGTGTAGGGGGTGTGAGTGTGCAGCAGCCTTGTAGATTGCTCCAACTGAATCCTCCTTTGATTGTCACATTCAGTGGTTCATAAAGTGTCACACTGTAAAAAAAAAAAACAAACACACACATGATCATAGCAGCTCTCTTATAAACTGATTGTGATGTGTTTATAACTGTATGAAGTAGGGACATACCGATCCAGTTTTTTTGGCCCACATGCCGATTCTTTTAATATTAAGTATCTTCCAATACCAAAATCCAATCCAATAATATTTACCTGCTGTAAATGTTCATTAAATACCTGACATATTGAACTTGACATTCATCTGGTACATTATTTTTCAGGGGCTTTTTGATCCAAATACAGGATTGGGTCTTGGTTCCAAAATATTAAATTTATTAGCTTAAATTATTGATATGAATATAAGAATAACCAGGAGCTGGACAACACACTCTCAGAGCTCACACATACACCTTAAAAACGCAGTCTTCTCAAACACAGGACTGTAGGTCTAAATAAGTATCAGATCAGCTTTATTCTGGCTGATAGTGATCCTGTTAAATATGCCTGGCTTGATGCCAATACCAATACTTAGTATTGAATTGTGACATCTTTAGTATTAAGATATCAAAAATGTCTATGGAGCTTGCTGGACGATGCCGAGTAAATATACAGTGTAACAGCAAATATGGTGACTGGTGACAGTTATTCCAAAGGTATGAACATAAAATGGGTACAAACTGGGTCCAGACATCAATGTGATACAATAACATACACACCTGTTATATAATTGTGTGCAGCAGGTGACCAGTTGTGTGCTGATGTTTACACTGGTATTGTTGAATTCTGTGCTTAAAAAATCAGGGCACTGAAGTTCAGGGATATACAGCACACCTAGAAACCCACAGAGTAGTGTCCTCATAAAAATCTTTGCCTAGATATAAAATATATACAAACATTCTATGCATTCTTGTCACTTATTGCGTCAATTAAACACTGTTCTCATATTAATTTCAACATGTATTGAGATATAAAATAGAGCTATTAGGATTTGAAAATTCAAAATTAAAATGTGTATTAGTATGTTAATTGACTTTAAACATTTGGTGAACTATCTGCTAATTATGTTTTTGCAATATATTGAAATTATTTCAGTTTATTTCAGCTTAACACATAAAACAATTATATATATGAAAGAAAAAAACCTAAGTAGCAAATATAAAACTATAAATGGTGTTATACTTGGCTACATTATATTATATCAGAGGTGTTCCTAATATTATGACTGTCTCATGTATGTAGCTGGGGAAATAAAGTGGCTGGTGAGTGTAGATTTGCAGTTTAAAAATGCTGAATTTGTGGCTTTGGCTTTGATTTTAAATAAACCACTTGTGTGTAATGGTTTCCACTGATAAAAGTGAGAATAACGATTATGTAGCTGTAAAAATAAAAATGTAAACGTTTCCATCAACATGACCATTTCTGAGTCAGTTTACTGCGTAGAACACTATATGTTTACCAGACTAACACTTACTGTGACTGTGTTATTAATGTGACATATGGGTGTGATGAAAGTCTTCCAGTGTTATAAACTGGCTACAGCGTCTGTGTATTTTTATGTTTCTGGAAGGTTCCATCAGGATGAGAAACCTACTGTTTGAAAATGAGGCCTAACAGTATACATACTGCACACCATAAGGATAGATGACAGACGGTAAGAGGAAACAGCCACCTGCAATACAAGCTGTCATAAAGCAGGAGACGCTGCCTGCAATCAGAGCTCTGAGGCCACAACTGGTGATGTCAGATCGTCTGTCTGGAGCCATGGTCGCTGAAAGAAGAACAACTATATGTTAAAAAACAAAGAGTGCTAATAAATGTAGCAGTTTAATGTTTGTCCTTTTTTTTCTGGTGTCTGGGTTTTCTTTTTCTTTCCAGGCTATAAGGCAACCACAGGCAAAATGAAAGAGACTTAACTCTCAGTAAACCCACACACTTCTTTGTAGCATATGGATTCTTCACTACTTACTCTCACTTGTGCCAAATGAAAAAAATAAAAAATCTATTACACATTTGAGTTTTCATCACATACATTTCTATGTGAGTGGTAGAGACTGTGTCTCAGCCTTTCTAAGAACTCACACATTACTCCAACCAGCGATCCCAGGGCGCCAAGGTTGGAAAATCCACACAAAGCATAAGTTGCAATGGTTTCAGAGTGGATCTAAATGAGGAAACAGAATTCATCTAAACTGTTATGTAAGAAAAATCCAAACATTCTTTGATATTGAAGCTTGGATTAAATTATACTTTACCATACTGTAACCTTATATACTGTATGTTTCCTGTGTCATATGTACTGTAGCTGTTAGAAGGCAAACACACAACTAGATGACATTAGGGAGATTCCACATTTAGTAACATGAAATCATTATTATATGCAAGTCATACATTCTTCACCATAAATTAATAATTTCTGGTGATATGCCATTACCAACCAGTATCACATTAGAACTTTTGCCCAGCACTACCCTGATGTGATACAGACACTAATGCAGTTTACAAGGCTATCTGTCTTTGCTAGGGTGCAGCCTGTCTTCGCTGTTTTCTATATGTACACTAGCATCAACTGTTATTTGTCCCAGATGTTATTATTGATGACCACACAGAAACTTTGAGCTACTTTCTAAATTACTGTATAATTCTCTAAATGTGGTTTGAACACCAGAAACGGAATCCCATAAAACATAACACTGCTCCATAGTGCTAATAGTGGTCCAGATCTCCACAAGGTAACTTTAATGGATGTTTAAGCTAATATTTTTACATCACATTACCTGTTGAAGTTGCCCAAATCAGATTATTATTATTATTTGTCTCCAAGTGACTCAGATCTGATCTTCATGAATGTGTTAACAAACCATTTTTTCCAAATCAGATCTGGGTCACTTGCATATGTGTATGATTCATATCTGATATCTGACTATGTGACCGCTGTCAGACTGGTCAGATTGGAATTCATCAGTGGAGACACGAGGATATTTCAAATGTGTTACTTATGGAGAAACCTCTGATCAAGTCACACTTGAAGGAACTTATTATAACCAAACAGTTTTTAAACAAATTCTGCAATTCGACCATTGCAAATTGTTATTTTTGTACCTACCTGGCTCACATTTAGTTAAAACTGTGCATCTGTGAGACTTTATGACCTAAACAGTGTTCACAAAACTTCATACATGTCACTTATAAACATGACTGCAAACCACCAACACAAAAAGATCAAATCTGACAAAAAATTGGAATTCAGAGCTAAGACCTGCAAATGCGAACGCAACCAAAAACATAATCATAATCACCATAATCTTCCTCTTGTTTTAGCAGTTAGTTGCTCAAGAAAATCTAAATTATAAAAAAAAGGGATTGCGTATGACTGACTGGAACTGGAAATAAAACAACCAAACATCAAACTGGCTGAGTGTGATAGGCTCTCAAACTCTCTGGCCACACCTATATCTTTAAATTAAGCACTGTTTGTGTATATCTGCCACTGAAGCATAAATGAAATTGTCTACAAGCCAACATGCTATAGATAATTAAATTGGCTTTTGTCACTTTAGCCACTACAAGTTACCACTTAATACTATGGTAGCCTTTTTGCTCAAAAGTCTGTGTCCAAGTACTTTGAATGCCATTAGATTTTCTGAGCATTGTCTATTACATGATGTCAAATATACAATATTCATCCAAGTAATTGCAGAAATGAACAGACAGAAAGTAAAGTTTTACAAATAAAAAAGTAACAAAATACAAAAACAATAAAAAAGCTATAGTAAGAATAAAATACTGTGACTTACAGAAATATACTGCTTTACATCGTTCACATATTCAGGACCTCCTGCCTTCCGTCTCTTGATTAATTTTGACAACTTCTGATAGGCCATGAACTCATTGAGGAATGCCTTTATGCCGATCAGCTCAGCAACAATGAAACTGTCCTCCCAGGAAACCCCCATCATGAAGGACAGAGGCATGAAGACATAGGAGCAGATGAGCTACAAGAAAAACAGAAAGAAATAAAAAGAGTGAGTGCACATGTGAGTTAATGTATGAACATATATATACTGTTAGTATATGTTGGATAGTTGTGTTTATGTTTATGGTCAGGGCCTCTACCGTGAAGCTGAGTTGTGGACAGCCAAACATTGCACCCAGCCAGGAGAGTACAGTGTCGAGAAAAGCCACCAGTGACAGGATGGAAATGATGTTGACAACAATGTTGGCCACAACTTTCACAGCACAAGTTGCGCCTTGGGACATGGCCTCCAGAGCATTTGAACACTCTCTGATGGGACATAGGGATTTGAAAGGTTATAAAACAGCCAATCCTCTGAACAGTGTCTCATCAAAATGTCACCTGGCATCAGCGGGTTGATGACATATTGTCATCTGCACTGCAGTTCTGTAGATCATCAGACTTTCTCATTTCTACTTATTCAGGAACAGATTTTTACACAGTTGTGACACTACAGTTCTAAACTACTTGCCACTGTTGCTTCCCATTGTATCTGAGTTATAAATTATAGACAGATATTGTCTATAAATTTAAGTTACTTAAGGACTCTGTGTCTAAGAACTGTGTGTGAAATACAGGGGGCCTCAGACCCCTGGACTGACAGCTCAGACCTCCTGAAAATCTCAAAATGAAATTTCAGAGGGGTCTCAGAAATGTGCCAAATTATTTATTGAAACAATACATTTTTGTATGAAGCATGTGTTTACATATGTGTGTCTATTCCGTCCTGTCCTACCCTTTGCCTAATTTGAAGTCACAACTGGCCTTCACACTCTGGGTCTCTGTCTCGGGCCAGAACGTTTTGGCGATGGCCAGGGAGGCTGGAGCTGACAGCACTGATGCTGTCAACAAGTGTGTAGGCTCAACCTTAAAGGACAGGCACATAGAAAATGAATTCAGAAGCCAATCATTCACTTCCTGACCAAGCTGTTAAAGTCCTTTTTAAACTCTCAGGTAAGTGTCAAGAGTCTGAAAAGCTCTGAAGTCGACACCTAAAAAAAACCCTAGGTAGTTCTTATTCTTACGACTTTGGGATATTACAAATATCTTCCTACTTTTAAGTAATGCATTTTTGATGACGTCAAGTCACAAACTGGACTTCTTTAATATTTAGCTTTAAAATGTATTTTTTAAGCTTAGATTTAATTCTGACAAGCTCATGAGAATCTCAGTACCTTCTTTACCCCTTCATCCCCTCCCTCCCACATGTTTTTTCTCACCCCAAGGGAGATATAGGCTCCCAGAATGGTACCAGCAACGCTGGCAAAACCTCCTGTCATCACAGCATGGATCTCAGAGCGAGTTAGCCCATTGATGTAAGGCAGAATCAGGAGAACTGCTTCTGACTGACAGAAAGGGAAAAATGGCTGGGTTAGTTTGGGACTACTGGGGTCATGTATATACTTGTACAGCATACACTCAGGTGACAGTTTATTAGGAACCCTGCGTAATACAACAGTCCTGCAATAGACATATGTTATGATGTTCAGTTTTTGATAGGTGTTGATTAAGCTGTATGGTCATTTTGGCAAGATCTAGTTTGAGGTGCAGTTGAAATGTATTGTGTTACTGTATAGTGACAGGTGTTTGTATTATTTTGTCCATTCCAGTTACAGTGAAAACTAGGTTAAATGACAGAAGCACCCTTCGCAGCCTTCTGTATACACACACACACATGCACGCACACTCTACAGTACTGTATATACTGTTGTTTACCTGTCCTAGGAATATATTTCCAGCTGCAGCCATTGATTCTGCTGGAGATGTTCCCATGGTTACCATCATTATGAATCCAATCTGGGGGTAGAAAAGTGTAGCATGGAAGATCAAAGGAAAACAACTGAACAGAGAAAAATTAATATATAAAATACACAAATTAAAAAAAAAGTTCCTCAATGAATCATTATGCTCATTTCCAGTTACTTTGAAAAGTCATTATTTGTCTTATATTACCTAAGCTATATTATATTATAACTATTATTGTTATAGCTATAGCTAATATTTTATAGCTATATTATATTACCTATACATGAGATACTTAAAAAAATAAATTATTTGACATCACATATTTCTCTTTGTCTTTACACTTTATCTTCTCACCTCCTCACCTTGCAAATGAGCCAGGACATGAAGCCAAAGTGGTAGAGAATGGAGATGACAGAGCTCAAAAAGACCAATATAGGCATCACCTGGAGAGAGTCCACAATCACCGCCATCATTGTCCTTGGTATCAGTGACTATGTTTACATGCACGGTAGTATCAAAGTCATGATTTGATTTGATCATATTCAGAATATACATGTATACATATACAGTACATGAAAACATAAGCCTTGTTATTAAATGCAGTAAGTCGTCATTATCATTACATTTTTTGTGATCCTATTTTTGTTTTATTGACTAACTCACCTACTGTAACTTGACCTTATGAAGCATCTGTACACCTGGCAGACATTGATCAGAAACCTATCCGGTTTTCTGATACCATGACAGCTACATGCCCAAACTCAATCATTATCATTTTATTGTTGCCTCATTCATGTGTGGATGATACCTGTGCAATTCATACCTTGAAAACAAAGAAATGGTCTGTGTAACTGGCACCAAACACAAACTCAGACCCAATATCTGCGAAAGACATAAACTTCTGTATGGAGGAAATGTAGAATTTTTAGTAACAGAAACAGAATATTTTGAAACAACTGGCTGTAGATTTTTTGTGTAAGCTGTAACTCTTCCACCATCTGCACCATAAAGGTCAAGTAGAGTTGCAGCAGTTTGTGATGTTATAGTTCTATAGTAACTGGTAAAAGCAAAAAACAGTAACAGTAGAAATTTCTGCTGGCAGAGTAAAAGAAAAAGTGACATGCCACGGAAATAATATTTGTGTGTGTTTACTGTACATACTTCTGCTTGTTTTCCGAGCCATTCCAATGCACTTAAGCCAAATGTGGTCCTGAGACTCAGCAGACCAAAGACAAACTGTAGCTCAATCCCACATATCAATGTTTGCCAAGACCACTGCAACACGTGCAATATGTAAAATTAATTTGTCAGTGTGCATGTGCTTGTTTAAGCTTGCATGCGCATCCCTTACCCTGAATGGGTGTTTGGAGAACAACATCATTAAGAAGACAAGGATCAGCAAACCAGAGAAAGACATAAGCTGCCTTTTCCCCCGTTGAGCGGTGTCCAGTACAAGCCAGCACACCACAGCCCCCAGAAGTAACACGTGTAGTATCCTGGAGAGAGTGAGAGAGAGAAGCACAGGCAGGGAGAGAGAGGGAGGGAGAGACAGTATGTACATCTGTAATGTGTGATGTATTAGTAGGAATGTTGTAAATAAATGAGAAAATGACAAAAGAGCATTCCCACACTTTCATAAGAAAACATTATACTCAGCTGGCACCTTGCTTGGGAGAGGATTAGACTGTGTAGTTAGCCACTCAGTCAACAGTATTCTTAAATAGGTACCAGTTTCTATATTTGAGTCAAGGAGATTGGACTATTTATACCAAACAGTGCTTGTAAAACTACATTTAGTGGAAATCACTTTGTTCTTGATTTGTAATAAGAGTAATGTAAATTCTAAAAGAAATTGCTCTCCACAGAATCTGCATATCTCCACCTGAATGCCCGCTCCTGGCACCTCCTAACTAATTAGGATGCTTCTGGAGCTCTCCTACATTTTGGCAATGAAAGGAATGATCTCCAACATTAGGGACGTCAATAAAATTAACTTACTTCTGCTCCTAAGTAGGACCAAAAATGCATCACTAAGGATTTTTGGCCAGTTAGGAGTGATTTCCCACTCTGAGATGCTTGATAAATAGAGGCCGAGAATAGAAAAACCGAAACAGGATTTGAATGGAGTCCCAGTTCTCACCATCTGATCCTGAAACAGTTTCTGTTGAAAAGGTCTCTGATAGGATGGAGCTCCACCCACACCCTGTCGCCATAGCGTTCCATCATCCAATCCCAGACCAGGAAAAATATGGTTACCAAGGAGATGACCAGCAGCACAGAAGCCTGACGGAAGTTCAGAACACATGCTGCTATAACCATGGCAGCAAAGCCTGAAACAAATTTGGACTTAGTGTGAATTACATACCACAGTGCTGATAACATTTTACACTTTTTTATTAAAAAATTTCTCATTCATTTATTTATTTGCTGCTTTACATCTTCCACTTAAATGGGGAGACATGAGGGGGTATAGTTAATGTTAGCTCTAAAATCCGTGAAGCTCTCCTGCACAGCTGAAACTTAACACATCCTCAAAAGACAAAATCTGATGAGACAGTGATATTATTCATCACTGTGTCGCAATGTGGTAGAAGTACTCAGATATTTTAAGTAAAAATAGCAATAGTACAGTGTATAAATACTTTTTAGTATGTAAAAGACATTAATTTACGGTTTTACTTGAGTACACAAAATATTAGCAACAAACTATATCAACCAAAAGTAAAAGTACCCTTTGTGCAAGATGGTTCATTTTAGAATAATGTTTCTTATAGTACTAGATTATTTAAGTACTGGTTCTTACATGAAACTATTACTTAAATGTTGGAACTGGTAAAGTGTGGGGCCAATTTTCACAACTTTATATACAGCTTACAATCATTTATATATACACTGTATTTATATATAAATTTCCTACTCCCCCCACTTTGGGGCGGTCTTTCCTTCCGCAGGACCTTAAAGCTCCCAGGCCTCTACCAGAGGCCTGGAAGCTTGAGGGTCTTGCGCAGTATCTTAGCTGTTCCTAGCACTGCACTCTTCTGGACAGAGATCTCAGATGTTGTTCCTGGGATCTGTTGGAGCCACTCTCCCAGTCTACCACGGGGACCACTTGTGCCTTCACCTTCCACATCTTTTCTAGCTCTTCTTTCAGCCCTTGGTATTTCTCAAGCTTCTCATGTTCCTTCTTCCTGATGTTGCTATCGCTTGGGATTGCTACATATATCACTACGGCATTCTTCTTCTGTTGGTCCACCACTACTATGTCCGGTATATATATATATAAATCAGGACACTGATCTACAAAATAAATTTTTCATCATGCTAAAAATGTAACAGAGGTCTAAACTCTTACATGGAGAGATCAGAGTCTGACCAAGAACCCACTATTCACACACACTATTTAAGTATCACATTCAAAGCCAGGTGGGCAGTTATTTCTCATGGGAGTACAAGGGAGTCAGAGAAAGTCAGAGACAGGGCGAGGTAGCAAAATGAAAGTTGTTTGACCTCCTCGAGCTTCAAATAAAAAAATAAGCTGTTTTCACACATTTAATTTTCCCTATACGGCATGTTAATGCACACATAGAAACCTCATATACATGTACAGTATGTGTATATAGGAATGAATATAAGGATGAGTAGATGTCTCCAAGGCATAAAACATTCTAGCCAAACAAGCTAGTTTGCAAAAATAAATTAAACAGCCCTTTACAAGCCTGCATATAGACTGAGAGCCCTGGAGCATGACTACTAATTGATTTTTCCCTATACAGAGCATTGGTAATTTAATCCTACATGGCAAAATCAAAAGCACCAAAGGGGATAAGGGGGTGGGGGTCACAGAACGTTGGACATACTTCAATAAAATCTCAGTTTTTATGAGATATGAACAAATAAGATGCACTTTGATACATGTCAGCCTAGCTAGCCTGCAGAGGCCCCAAGACAGAGGCTTGCTATTTAGAGACCTGATACACTTGAATGGATGCTAAATAAAGATAATTTACCTGCTCCTAACCCCAGATGTATTATCAGGTGGATCTGGTCTCTGTGCTCTGCAAAATAGCCCTGGAATGCCTCAATTTTCTTCTCCAGCAGGCTAGAAAGAAAAAAATGAGAAAGATGGGGGTGGAGATAGTGAGAGAGGGCATTACTGTGGCATCAAAGTGACCAGAGAAAGGCTGCTGACACTGAGAAAATCTGACATGAAGAGATATTGTGTCTTTATTTAAAAAAAAAAGCCTACCTTTTCTTATGTTGGTTTGTCTTTTTCTGTGCATTGTCACCTTCAGAAGCTCTTTCTATATCAATGTAAATCTGATCCTGCTCCTGTCTCAGACAGCAGGATGAATAAGATTGGAAATATAGTTATATATTAACAGAAAAAGGTGCTTGCACACACTGACCCATTTACTTCGAACCTAAACTGACTGAAGGTTTTAAAGAGCCTATTTATCTTTCAAACACAAGACTAAATTAACAGCAGTATTCTATAGTTACCAAATTTTACCATACATGTTTGACAAAAGCCTATACAGCTGAGATGCTTTTAAGAACTTCTGTAAACACGTTTTTGGATCTCTTGAATGTTCTTTGATTAATCAAGTTGAATATTTGAATACAGCCTAGACTTGTTTCTCAAGCTATTCTGTACACTGTTTAATAAAATTAGAAACATTTGAGAACTCCTACAGTCAAATTCAGCAACATAATATTATGCAAGAAAGTCTTCATTTGTGTCTATTTATGTGTTAGGATGACATTTCTCTCATTTCTACTGAAGAAGAATGTTCCTGAATGCTCCTTGATTAGCCAAGCTAATGTTTTACTTCAGTAAAAAATAACAGTGAGATGTCGTTTTAACAAATAAATAGATAGAAACGAAGGCTTTCTTCCATTTACCCATAGTATGTGGTTCAAACCACCCTCAGGGGTTTTCAAACATTTCCAGCTATTCTAAGCAGCGTGGTTGAAGAAACACTGCAAAAACAGATCCAGGCTGTAGTCAGATTTGCCCACCTGTACCTCTGCTACAAAGGCCTTGTTGTCTTCTCCTTCTTTCTGACTCTCCTTTTCTATTGCATTCAGCTCCATTCTTTTGCTGTCTGTGAATGTTCAAACGCTGAGACACTTGCTGGGAGACTTTTTAAAGAGCTGTTTATCATATTCTCCGCCCATTCACATTTCTGTGACTCTGTCTTTACTGGTATCTCTTCCCCTCCCTCCTTCTTCCTAGTCTTTTACTTTGGGATACTGTAGAAAAAAAATATTTGGGTCCAATGTTTTATAATAAGTAATTTTGTCTTTCTGGACAAACAACAGCACACTTTGACCAAATGCATTCTCTTCCTCCCACCAGAACCTTAATTATCACAACTACAACCCAATTTCCAAAAATTAAAATGTAAATATAAAAAGAATGCAATAATTTGAAAATAATTTAATACCTATATTTAATTGAAAATAGCACAGTAGGCGTTTCAGAACATTTTATTTTGTTTTTGTTTTTCTCAATTCACACAATGTCCCAACTTTCTGGAAACGAGGTTGTAAATACTTAAGAGTGAAGGGCAGAATTAAGTTTAGATTACAATTAGAGGAAGTGTTGGGTTCAACCCGCAAACAACCCTTTGAAGAAGTTTCAGAAAATGAGGATTGGCTAATGTGTCCTCACTTTTGGAAAATATCTACAATCCCAAGGAAGCCCCCAACTTTAAAATTGAATGATTTACAAGGTGAGAACCATGAAGGTTATTGATTAGTTCAACACAAGTTAATATGTAGAGTCAGTTTTGTTGTAAATAGGAATCAGGGCAGTGCAAAGACATCTGGAGGGAAAAGTGCTCAAGCTAAAATAGGGGCACCCCTCTCACAACATTTACTTATAAAAATTGTGACTGTGCCTTGACAGCCTGTCAATAAAAATCACTGGCAGGATCAGAGACAAGGGGCAATCTTGGCGAAAGCACAACCCCCCGGGAACGTATTTGACTTCTTGCCAAGAATACAGACACACATCTCACTCCAGTTATGTGAGGACCAGATGGCTCATAACAAGTGTCCATGTACCACATAATCACGCACTGCTGATCCAGGGCATTGTAGATGGACTCATTTATTTATTTATATACTCATACGCTTCTGCTGATATGACGATCCTAAACAGATTTTTACAAAACTATTAATTCACACAGAGACAAGTGTCTATACTGTTCACTACTTGTAAAATTGCTTTGGGACATGATAAAGTTTAGCCCCACCAGATAGTAACTGTCAGTGGTTCAGCTTCAAGATACTGACCAAAGACCAAATTTAATGGAATATTTTTCATTTGGCAATGTTTGAACAATATTCGAGTTAAATGAGATAGATTAGTGCAAGTACTCTAATGTGGATCTAATTTCATTAAGGTTAGTTTAAATGCTGGTAAATACAACTACATCAGCTTTATATCTGTGATTTAGAATCACTAAATCACTAAATTCACTATGCGTTGCAGAGTCCTTCTGCTGGAGGCAGTACAGGCTCCGTACCACACAGTGATGCAGCCAGTGATGATGCTCTCAATGGTGCCCCGGTAGAAGGAGCACATGATGGGGGGTGGGGCACTGGCTCTCGGTTTGCGGAGGAAGTAGAGGTGTGTTTGAGCCTTCTTGGTCAGTGTTGTGGTGTTGTTGGTCCAGGAGAGGTCCTCAGAGATGTGCACCCCCCAGGAACTTGGTACTGCTCCCTCTCTCCACTACAGCACCGTTGATGGTCAGTGGTGGATGCTTTAGAGGAAGTCCACAATGATCTTTTTAGTCTTCCCCACATTGAGGGAGAGGTTGTTGTTCTTACACCACTGGACCAGTTTGCACACCTCACTCCTGTAGTTGGCCTCATCATTGTTGGTAATGAGGCCAACTACAGTCGTGTCAGATTGACACACAGTCATGGGTCAGCAGTGTGAAGCGCAATAGGCTGAGCACACACCCCTGCGAAGCCCCTGTGCTCAGTGTGATGGTCTTGGAGATGTTGATGCCGATCCACACATTTTGTGGCCTCCCTGTTAGAAAGTCCAGCACCCAGTTGCAGAGAGAGGTTTTGAGTCCCAAGTGTCTACGTTTTTGTGTAAGCTGCTGGGGAATGATTGTGCTGAATGCTGAACTGAAGTCTAGAAACAGCATTCGCACGCAAGAGTTCTTTGAATCTAGGTGGGCGAGGGCTGGATGGAGAAAAGCAGTAATGGCATCCTCGGTGGACAATTGTGGACAAACAGATACAACAGCACCAGGAAATAAAAAGTTTAAATGTTAGACAATAAAACAAACACACAGAACATACAATTATAAGTTACTTGTAGAATTGATAAAAATCGATGGCCCTTGGGACTATTTGGCCCATTGGACCAAAATAACAGTCAGCATGACATGTGCTAACTCTTCCCCAGTATTCAGGTGTTTCTTCCGGTACTCCTGCATCACCGGAGAAGCAGTCTATCCATGTTTCAGTGTCCCAGTATTTGCAATGGTAGGCATAATATCAATCAACTGTGCTTTTTTAATAGAAACACTATATGGCTTTATATGGATGGAGCTTGTGTAAATAACAGTAGTTTCCCAGCAGCCACTAGAGGGCACTAGTGTATAATGTCTCAGGATCAGAATAGACATGGCTGGTATGTGGTGGTTAGAACATGAGTTCAAGGGGAAAAAAACAAAGCTCTTTTGTATAAAATCTTAAGAAAGTAAATTTAATGTGTTGTGCATTTATCCTACAGGATTTCCAAAGCTTTTCTCTTGTGTGAGCAGGTTAACAGTTCAGTCAGAGCAGTGTGTTAATCAGTTACTATTTTAACGGGAAAAAAGAAACATTTCTTCTCGTCATGAAGAAGATTGGGACGCCACTGAAAAATATTATGTTTTACCACTCTGGTGCAGCCAAACTAAGTGTTCGACGCTATGATTAAGTCGAAGCCAAGATGCTCCATAACACAATAACAGAGCAGGGAAATTGTTCCAACGGAGGGTTGTTTATACACAGATCATGTTCCAGAAGCTCTCACAGTTATTAAAGTAAAGGAAACATTCAATACTTTGGCTGAGCAAGTGTGATTTTTTTCCCTGCATATAAGCACCCACTTAGTGTGTCTAGTATCACAATCATGACCCTAAGTGACATTAAATTTAAGTGATGCAACAACACATAATTATAGTGCTATAAAACAGGTAATTGTGATTCAACAATAGGTGGTTGTGATGCAGCAAGGTGAACAGGTGGATGTGACGTCTTGCCAAAATAGTCAACTGGCCCATGAATGAAAATTATATATATATTCTATTAATTAAGGATCTCAGTTAATTACATAAACATGACAACACCCTATTGTTTTGTTATCACTGTAACTTTGAAATCTTTGGGCTTGGATTGCTGGTTGCCAGCTGTGACCTTTGCCAGATATACATGGTAATTAACAAAAGAATTTGGCTGATAATTTAGTTCGGCAATAAAACAAAAGCAAGTAAACAAACAAAAAACTTTAACACTTTTGAATCTTATCACAGGCAGCACCCAGTATAAATAACTGGACAGTAGTGTTTTGCATTATGCAGTTAACACAATAAGCTAAATATGTGTGGCCTAATATAAGATGCTCATAGTGTTGGATAAAAAACATCCTGACTGATGCTTTGGTTGATTTAAGGGGGCGATTACATAATGCCAAAGACCTTTAGCACAGGTTACAAGCTCTGTCAAAATTCAAAAGGAGCAGACAGTAAGTGTAATATTCTGTTTGTGAGCCAGTGATGTAATTGGTAGCCCACACTGTTCTGTGCAGAATGCTTACACCCCAGCTTCTGAGGCAGGCATCCACCAGATTGGTTCAGGCACAGACAGGGCTCCATAATTACACTCCTCCATTCAGCAGTGATGCCGGTGCGTCAACACAAACGTCATATTAGAGTCGCACATGGGGACAGGACACTGTAGAGAGAAGACAAGCCAGGAGAGCAGTCCTCTCAGATGTGGTGTGTTGCTCACAGACAGATGGGCTGCCTTTCTCTGCCTCTCACTTATGAGGTAAAAGATTTAGGTTAAGTGTCTTTGTTCTTCAGTGGCTCAACATTTGTGCTAGAAACACATCCAGCAGTAGGAGCTAGGATCTCTAGCAGCAGACTGACTGGCATGCAGCCCTATAGCCTCCACTCTAAGATGACAGCTTATTGATTCAAGTCTGGTTTGGCTGGCAGCCCTATATGATTATGAAGTATGGCCTAACGATTTAATAAGGCGAGGCTTGGTCTAGTACATACCAGTTAAAGAGTTGCTGATGGGTGATTTCTCTCTCTCTCGCTCTCACCCTATCATGTGCTACTTTAGACTTTACATCCACCTCTTGTCCTAGCTATTTACAAAAGCATCATCAAATCCTTAGCATGAAAAAGGCCTATAATTAAATATTCTATAACAAGTTTGATGGGAAATAAATGGTTGCTTTTTTTGGCATTTTTCCCTTTCGATGTGTTCCTGCCCCCAACTAGGAGAGTGGAAGTGTGGCACCTACACCTAACTTTGTTTTTCACTGATTAACTGTGTGGTCTATTCTACTAAATGCCTAGCAACCAGATGATCATAATGACGACAGTGGCGATGATGAGAATGATTATGATAATTAGAGTCTGTAAATTGATAGCCGCTCATATCTCTCATTTTCATTCTGACTCCAGCTCCCTTATAAATTAAATGACCTCTTCAACGCTTTTTCTGCATTTCTCTCTCTCGCTCTCTCTCTCTCTCTCTCTCTCTCACTGTAAGACAAGGACGCTCACACCTCGTTCAAAACTCAAACCAATGCCTGTAAATTCTGCATCAGACCGTGCTCAAAATTAAAACAAACGACTACTGGCTTTGGAGTAACCGGGTCAAGAGCACAGGCCCACGGCTTGTTGAGGTCCCCATGAGCAAGAAAGCCTTCTTCTCTGCACCTGACCTTTCCTCTAGACCCCACTGCACGCACACCAAGGAGCATTTCCCTAAAGGGGATCAGTGAGGGTTGAAGTTATACACGATCTGCTTTGATGCTGCCCCCTCTTTCCTCATCCGCAGCTTTCATCTCTGTGAGCCGCAGGAGAACAGCGGTGTGCACCGCACAGCTCTCCCGTTTGGACTGTCATTTAGGCAAATCCACCCACTCAACCACCACCACCACCACCCTAGAAACATCCACACACAGAGATCATTGTGTAGAGGAGGCCGTGCGCTGCGCGTCTGAGAGGGACAGAGAGAGAGAGAGAGAGAGAGAGAGAGAGAGAGAGAGAGAGAGAGACATCCTCCTTGGCACACACCCGTCAGTGTGGCAGTGTGGGTTTGACTGACTAGCCGACTGACGGGGGATTCTGGAAGAAACACAAAGGGACTGGACAACACACTCTGCTGTTTTGGTTGTTCACACCTTTCTTGCCCTCTTGCCCGTCAGCCTTATCCCAGCCGATGGTCTTCTAGCAGCGCCGCCTGTACCCACCTCAGCATCGGATTTTCTTACATTTCAAATTTCCTTGATTTGGCTGAACCGGGGCTGATCCTAGCCAACCTGGGCCGGACCGCGGGGCTGTTCAGCGAGCCTTATAGCTGAAGTTGGCACCCGAGATGAGCGCCTGGAGACCGTGGAGCGGGGATCCCTCTTCACCGAGGAGAGGGTACGGGTTGTGGCATCAGTGGTGGTGGGTTGTGGTGCTCGGGGTGGCAGTGGGTTCGGGAAATCCATGGATGTCCGCGGAGGCATGCCCGTCGTCTTGTTCCTGCAGCAGCACCAGGATCTCCTGCGTGGATCCGGAGCGGGGTATCAGTGCTCTCCCCGTCCTGCAGAGCGAGGCGGAGATGGAGAACATCACCGACATGTGAGTGTCTCTAAGCATCAGATTTACAGAGGGGAGATGCCAGGTTCATAGATGGTCTTCAATCTTCACATTTATCCTGCTTTTATAATGGTGGCTGCGTTTTCAACACTTTTACTAATAACGGAATGTCATCCTTCACCCCTCCTCTGCCAGCTGTGTCTGGAGATTGTGTCGGGGGGCGCCACCC